AACAACCTCATATTTTTAATTGATTTTTCAGAAGGTGGTTAGATTATTAATGCCATTTGTGACCTTGTGCTGTTGCCATGACTTTCTGGCAGTCTGTGGCCTTCCTGGACCTTAAACTTTTTAGCTGTAGATGGTGGTTGATATTATGAGTGCATAGGAGCAATATTAGTTGCCAGGACTGCATTCAATAACACACATTGTCACCAAGGCTACTTAACACTCCGCTGCTGACCTAATAGATGTGTCACGCTGCTGCCATTGTTATTTATTAGATGGAAAAGATTCAGTGTAGGTTTTTCTACCAGCTGTAAGCAGATATGATGTTGCTCTCATGAGCCTGTTGAGCAGTTTGGAGGCAAAAACCCTGACTGTAAATAACAGCTGCCACAGGGGCTCAGACTGCTCTTCGCTATGAAAGTGGGGGAGCCAGCCAGGGCTGAAGGCATTAACACATTGAGAGCCTGTGCAAAATTTAAAGCAAGTGTAAACAAAGCAACAGAATTCCCTACGTATGATATACCTTTTTTTTTTTAAAGATTTATTTATTTATGCATACAGAATTGTGGTACAGGCCAGAGGTGCAGGGGTGTGAGAGGATTTACCAGAGACAGAGTGGGGAGCAGAACAGGCAGATCGATGAAGTATACTGCTGAGGGGAACAGCGGGTGGGCCAGGAGAGGTCTGCTGTGCCATGTGGTCACCTCTGGGGCAGGGATCGAACTCATGCTGAAGTGGCTTTAGCTTCTTAGTTCTGTGCTCTAACCTGCTGCGCCACCAGGGAGGGCCCAATATACCTTTTATAGGAATAAGAACACCTTAAACACACCTGGGGGCTCCGTGGGTCCAGGGGCGGGGGCAGGCTGAACTGTGAAGCAAAAATGCTCTTCTTGAGAGGGTCACTCAGTGCTGGCAGCCCGTGGTATAGGCCGTCTGTCACACACTGGTAGGCAGGAATATTTCCAGCTGCCAAAAATGTCCTCCTATCAAAACATGGGGAGAATCTCACTGAAAGTGGTTACATGAGTTTTTTTTTTTTTTTTAAAGATTTATTTATTTGTACATACAGAACTGGGGTACAAGGCAGAGGTGCGGGGGCTGTGAGAGGATTCACCAGAGACAGAATGGGGAGCAGAACAGGCAGATTGATGAAGTACACTGCTGAGGGGAGCAGCGGGTGGGTCAGGAGAGGTCTGCCGTGCCATGTGGATTGCCTCTGGGCCAAGGATCAAGCTTGCACTGAAGCGGATGCAGCCAGCTTGCAGAGCTGCATCCTATTCCATTGCACCACCAGGGAGGGCCCATTACATGAGTTTTTAAAGTAAAAAGCTTTCTTCACAGTTCCTATAGCAAGATAACATTTTGAGATGTGCACAGGTTTCTTCTTCAGCAAGCTCTTCTCTCAGCCCCCTTTCTTCACACTGCCTTTCACTCTCACAGCCCTCAAGGAAAGGTAGATGAACCCTAGACTAGCACTGTCCAGTGGAACTTTCTCTGATGTGGAAATTTTTTTTTTGTTTTTTTTTAGAAATGCTGAATTGTAATTCTAAATTTTTTTTATAACAGTTTATTTTTACATCACTTTGTACATTTTTTTTCAATCTCAATTGTAATCCCTGCGGGTTTGCCATCACCAAGTCACCCGTGTGCCGTCACCATAGTCCCGTGCGATGTGGAAATGTTTTCTATTTCAATGTCCAAAATAGAACCACCCATGGGCCACATGTGGCTACTGAGAACTTGAAATGTGATTACACAAGAGCAAGCAAAGAATGACTGTTTCTAGAGCTTAGATCTAGTGGATGCCTAAGGAATTGAGCTGAGGAATTCAACTTTTAGTTTTATTTCATCTTAATCAATATTAAACTTAAAACGCCACTGGTGGCTACTCTATTGGACAGTTCAGCTGAGGCTCTCACATGCAGGTATCAGTTATGGAACTGATTATTTTAAGACCAGTAGCTGAAATCATAATTCTTGATATATAAAACCAAATTCTAAATTAAGTAGTAACTGCCTGGAATTGGAGAGAGCAGGGTTTTTGTTTTGAACAAAATTTGGTTTTGCATATCAAGAACCAAATATCCTGAAGCCTAAAGTATGAAATTTATACCATAAGTCAGAGAAGGAAGCACGCATGATAAATTGCAATGGTTTCCTTGTCCAGAAAGAAATGAGTTTGGAGCAAGCAAAGAATAACTGTTTCTATCTAGAACTTTGCGCTAGTGGGTACCTAAGAATAGATGCTGATGCAGGAGAGGTTGGGGAAGAGGGGGTGTCTCAGAACAGAAGGGACTTTTTTTTTTTTTAGAAGAGACTTTTTGCCTAGAACCTTTCAGAGATGAACATACCATCAAAATGTGGAGGAAGATCCAGGGAGTACCTAGATCCCAGAAATGGGTGTGCAGGTGGGATGCTTAGTGGCAAGTCAACCAGAAGGAAACTGAGACTGGACCAGCTTGCCCGCAACAGAGATGGGTGAGGTTGCAACTCTTGCCCAACTGCGAGGATGATTTATGAGCATCCCCAGCAACTTAGATCACATCCTCGTGAAAGAGGAGGGTTTGTGTAAGACCCAGAATTAAGGTCTAATATTATGTGCGGCCTGGACATCTGGTAAAACTGAGGAGAACTGGTGTGGCCTAAAAACAAGTTCCTCTTCTCACTCAGCTGCAAGGGAAAAGCCCTCCCCCCCCCCCCCCCCCCCCCCAGTCAAACACCCTATGCAGAGGGACCATATTTGGGTCCTGTCCATCCACAAGTAGTGTTTTCAGTTCTGGCCAGAGTACAAACAATTCAGTGGAATCGGGGCAGCTTCCTGTTCACTCTCTCTCGGTGCTATGAAATCTGCTGCTCAGCACTCCTAGTCCTCTACTTTGTCCACTAATGACAGTTCCTTGGTTCCCTAGGCATGCAGTGCCCTTTGGCACTGGGACGTGTGTATATGTGACTCATAAACTTCTGCTGATCTCATCTGTCCAGTCAGATGTTGGCTGAGTCAGGTGTTGTCTGTCCCCATGGCCCTAAATGTCAGTCCTTCGCCATCCACAGGCTGAAGAGGAGTCAATGAAAACAAAAGGAAAGGGGATCATCCAGAACTAGTTGATTTTAAATCTCAAACTGACACCGTGTAAACACTCAATGTGGCTGTGTGACATGGAATCGCAAAGCTTAATCTTTTGTTATGGGCAGAAAGAGTGGCTGATGAACTTAGTTCAAAGATAAAGAGAGCTCTGTGTATTTGCACATCAAACCATTGTACTAGAGCAAAAATTACATAATCCTTTCCACATTCTAATGACTTTGCTACTAAGACTCTGGATAAAATCATTGATTTATCCTGCCTGCCCAAGGGCAGGGCTTGGAGTTGCTGAAAGAATGTACTCATATTTTCTCCTCCCTCACATGTTTTCTGATATTTCTCAATAGGTAATGCCAAGGGACCCATGATACACTCAGCACCATGTGACTGATGTATCAGATATTCATTCTGTGTGTACCGGCACTGACAGAAACAGTCACCCACTGCACTCTCTCTCGGTGCTATGAAATCTGCTTCCCACCACTCCTGGGTTCCCCATGGGCTGTGACCAGTAGGACCCAGAGAGGCAGAACTCCTTACCCAGGTGCTTCCTGCTGCCCTCTAAATTCCCAAGGCACTTTCCACAGACACACATCCTTTATGACAAATAAAGGGTATATGTTTCTATTTATAACAATGCCAAGACCCAACATATTCTAAAAGAAATGTGTATTCTGAGCCCCTATCAAGTGAGCGCAGGAGCGCAGTGCCCACATCATCCCTCCTTGGCTGAGTCCTTTCATGTCATTTCTGCTCTTGGTTCCCACAATGCGTGCAATTATTTCTCTCTCTGGGTCCAGCTTTGTTCATACCTTACTTGCTTAATCCTTGATTGTGTTGTTGATGTTCAAAAAGTTATTTTGTATTTATTATGTTTTGACATCTTTTTATTGCATTTTTAAAAATCAAGGTAATATTGTCTCACAGCACAGTCTAGGATTCAGAGGTATAATTTCCCAGCACACTCAGTGTCCAGGCAGCTGTAGTCCAACACCGGTCCCCCTCTCCACTGTCTCCCCCTCCCCCCAGAGTTCCAGGGGTTGTTTTGTCTGTCCCATTGTTTCTTTTTTCTTTCTATTCTGACATTTTCATCAACCTTTCTGGCTAAGGAAAGACTGTCTCTCTTAATTCTTAGAGGTGGCAAAGGACTCAGGAAGAGCAGGCCTTTGACAGGCAAACTAACCAATCCAGAGTTGGATCTCTTCCAAATGCTCCATTAAACCCCAGGAAGCAATATTCCTGACTTGATAATCCCAGTAGAGCTGTGAGGCACCTAGAGACCACAGCTATAGTCCTCTGGGATAATTCCAACTAGCCCGTCCTAGGACATTCTCCCCGCCAGCCTTGCCATTCCGGATCATGGCCTGGGCACTCTGTCTGTTCCTCTGAGGGCTTTGCTTGCCCATGTGGCTCTGTGTGTTGCTGTGTCTCCTGTTTCAAAGGCCCGTGGGTATATTAGGTTTTGTTTTCCAGACTCTCCTGTGTCTGCTCTCTTGACTGCAACCACTCCCTCCACGCCCATCATCATCTAAGGGGATCCAGAACCTCCACATGTTCTCTGATCTTGTGAAATTCATGCAGAACTTTGAAAATACTAAATATGTATGGGATCACAATTATAAGTACAGTTTTAGAGCTGCAAACAGATTTGTGCTCCATTAATTTATGGATATTTGGAGACCAATAAAAAAAAATCAGTATAGTTCAGATGTAAAAGTGACTGCTATTCTTAAGATACAGACTCATGGCATATGATATATTCTCTAAAGAGACCAGAGTCAGATTACAGGCACCCCAATCAGATCATCAGTACCCTCACTTCCTAATACCTCAATCCAAACCACTGTCTTTCCCAAGACTCATCTCTCCTCCATCAGAAGAATGGCTTACTAGGGAACTATATAATATCATATTATGTAAAGGGATCTCTAAATGATAACCACCATTTCTGGCACTAGATATTATTTTATTTTCTCCTTTTCATGGACCCTTTACTTTGAAAAAAAATTTTCTACCAAACGATTAGTTCTTTCCTGTTTTTTAAGTTAAAGCCATATCAGTCTCTGATCCAAGCTGTGAACTGCAGTTAAAGATGAGGACAAGTGGTATAAAGGAAGGGGTTTGGAGTCAGACTGACTGTAGGACTGTCACTTCTGCTACAACAGCTGTGTGACCCTCGGCAAGTTATGTGACTTCTCTGAACATCTATTCCTCCCTCTGTAAAAACAGTGAAAATGATTCCCATCCCACAGACTTGACTTCACAGTGGTGAGAGCTCAAACAAAGGAAGTTTCTTCTTTCTTAACCTCACTCAGTTCTAATGGTCGTTCATCTATAGAAAGGACTGAAAATGGTTCATGAGCCCTCTGGCTTATAACCAACTGGCACCTTCACTTGGTAAACTCTGGCCCTGCCTTCTGCCAGGTTGAGTCTCATCAGCACAGCTTGCCAGTAGTTTCTAAGATGCAGGGGAGCTTATAGGAATGAAAGGCTGGCTCACTACTTAGGCCAGTCACCAGCCTGAGTAGATTTTCCCAGCAGCCTCCAAAATACAGGAATATGTGCATCTAGTTCTCCAAACTGTCGCCACATTCCAGCTGCCTTACTGCCAAGAAGCAGCCCAGGGTTCCTAGAAGCCCTAATCATCTGCCCACAGAGAATCCCAGGCGAGCTGGTTCAGATCCCAGGGAGCGGGGAATTCATGGGGCACTTGCTGGAGCTTTTCCTCAAAACAAGAATTCAATAAAATAAAAGTCAAATAAAAAACACAACAGGCCCCCCTACCCCCTCTCCTGCAAAGTGGGCCTGCTGCAGCAAATCAAAAGGTGTGACTCTCCATTTCTCAGCCCAGAGCCTGCAGCCATGGTCTGAGGCCCGCCCAGCTCACAGGAGGTCTCCTGATTGTCTCCGGGAATTCCAAGCACAGTTTACTACTTGCTTGTTTGAAGGCATTTAGCCAGGTGAGCATGCAAGTAAAAATAAATTTAAAAGTGGAGAACAAATCAACAAACATGCAAGGACCAAGAAGCTGGTGTCTTCTTGAAACTGGCTTGATTTCTCCTAGGTCAGGTGTAGTCCAGGAAGTTATTGTACTTTCCAGGTATTTCCTCAAAATTCTCCTTTGCATCCAAATCTCTGAACATCAACAGTACATTCAGATTGAAGGCACTTTACATACCATGTTATATTCTGTTCTATGTTGATGCCTTGAACACTTAAAAAAAAATTGTCTCCCTCCAAACTCTGAATTACAGAGGAATCCCAGCCTTAAAATCAGCATATGGCAGACTCTTCCCTTAAAGGGTCAAATAGTGCATGTTTTCAGTCTGGGGAACTACATGGTCACTGCTGTCAAATTTTTGACTCTGACTTGGCATGAAAGCAGTGAAAGATAACTCATAAAAGAATGGGCATGGCTGTATTCCAAAAGTTTTATTTTATGTACACTAGCATTTGAATTTCATATAATTTTCTAAAAAAAAAAAGATTTATTTTTTTATCCATATAAGAACTGGAGTATAGGCCAGAGGTGCGGTGGGTGAGAGAAGTCACCAGAGACAGAGTGGGGAGCAGAAGAACAGACAGATGGACTGAAACACACTGCTGAGGGAAGCAGCAGGCGAGACCAGAGAGATCTGTTGCACCATGTGGGTCACCTTCCTGGCCAGGGATTGAACTCATGCTGCAGTGGCTCTGATAGCTTCATAGTGCTGTGCTTTAACCCACTGTGCCACCAGGGAGGGCCCTCATATAATTTTCATGTGTCACAAATACAACTCTTTTCTTGAGTGTTTCCCCCGAATCATGTAAACATGTAAAAGCCATCCTTACCCACAGGCCAGACAAAATCAGGTAGGGGCCTAGGGTAGTAGTTGGCTAACCCCTGACTTAAGCAGGAGAGGCTGACTACAACCTGCATACCATGCAAGCATTTCATTTCAATGCAAATGATTAATTCAATGGAGACGAAAGATAAGCTCAACCTTCAGGTATTTTTTTTATTTTTTAAAATTCTGGCCCTCCCTGATGGCGCAGCGGGTTAAAGCACTGCACTAAGAAGCTTAAGCCACTTCTATATGAGTTCGACCCCCTCCTGCCCGGGAGGAGATCCACATGGCATGACAGACCTCTCCTGACCCGCCCGCTGCTCCCCTCAGCAGTGTACTTCCTGGATCTGCCTGTTCTGCTCCCCACCCTGTCTCTGGTGAATTCTCTCACCCTCCGCACCTCTGGCCTGTACCCCAGTTCTGTATGAATAAATAAATAAATAAATCTTTAAAAAATTCTATTACATGTTTTTGTGTGTGGTAACATGGTTTACAACATTGTATAAGATTCAGAGGTGTAGGGTCACACCTCAGAGGCATGTTACCACCTCACACCAACTGGCTAATAACACTTGCAGGTTGGTGGACACGTAAAGTGAAGACAGACCCTGGGTTCTGTGCTTTTATGTTGTGCAGGGCACAGTGCCAGTGCTCTGACGTCATGCCTGAGCAGAGCAGTGCAGGGTAAGGGAGTGAAGTGAGGCTTTTCTGCCAAGGGAAGTGCAGCTATCCTGAAACCTGAGCTCCTCTGTTCTCCAGAGAAGCAGGAATAGATTAGGTAACCACAGGGTCATTGTCCTGTTGTCCTCCAGTCTCATCTGTTCCCAGTCTGGGAAAGCATGTTGCTTATTCCAGGTAAGAGTTCACACTCTAGAGGAGTCTTCAGTTTACCTAAGCAAAAAGCTCCCCAGGGTAAACAGTCATATTTGCACAGAGCTGGTGAGCTCTGGGAAGTAAGTGGGAAGGTCCTTGAGCTTCCTGCTGCTTTTGATTATCTAAGGACTTCTTGTTTGCAGGTTCAGCTTAAGTAAAATGATCAGGAGGGTTGACATTTATCTTTAGGTATCTTTCTCTCTCTCTTTTTTCTTCAATTTATGCATACAGAACTGGGGTACAGGCCAGAGTGCAGGGCAGGGGCAGTGAGAGGCTTCACCAGAGACAGAGTGGGGAGCAGAACAGGAAAATCTACTGAGGGGAGCAGTGGGTGGATCAGGAGAGGTCTGCAGCACCATGTGGTCACCTTCAGGGCAGAGGGAATCGAACTCTTGCGGAAGTGGCTTTAGCTTCTCAGGGCTGTGCTTTAACCCGCTGCGCCACCAGGGAGGGCCAGGTTTCTCTTTTTTACTTGCTTCCTCTTTATGGTCCCCTTTTTTACCTACATTGCTACCTGGCCTCCATCACAGTTCTCAGGCTTGGGAATCAAACACACTGATGTTCTAATTCTGATCTCCCGCCTACTAGCTGTGAGATCCCTATAGACACAAATCCCCAAGGAAAAAGATGGGTGAAGAATGAAGGACTGAGAGCGCATATGTCATGCCGCTCGCTCTGAAGCCCCCTGCAAATACAATGACACTACATACAGGACACTGTGTCCTTCATTCCTGCAACAGGCACAGCCCAAGTTTCCTGGGAGAAGTAGTTAGTGAAACTCAGGTAGCTGGAATCCAAAAAGTCAGGGGTACGGTCCCATTGCTTCCCCTGTAAATTCCTCACAAACCCTGGGGTCTCAGAGCCCTCCAGGTTAATGAATGACCCTCCTGAAGATTAGTCCCGGCTTTACATCCTACCAGCACGAGTAAACGATAGTTCAGAAAGTTGCATGGTAACAAGAAGAAAGTATATTAACTTCATTTTTTCGTCCTGTTGATTTACATTCTGAATCAGAGTGCTGTGATTCTCCTAGTAAAGAGGATGCTGAGTAGGAGAGAAGATAGAGTTCTAACAAGCCCCACCTTTCTCTACAGACACCCACGCTAAGGGTGGAAGTGATTATATCTGCAGGTAGGGCAAAAGTCTCTGAAATCCTCTCATTGGCTACAGTCACACTGGGAGTTAATCAGAGGAAGTTCATTAATATTGACATTTTAAAAACAAGCAGAGAGCCACAGGCCTGACCTTTTCCCTTGCCATGGAAAACTTATTTATACTAGAAACACATGCCTCTTATTCTAAACTAATTTTCTCATCATAATTAATCAATTAAATGAACCACCTTGTTGTCTGGAGAGTACATCATATCTACAGGTCAGAGGTAGATTTACAGATTTATAATATTAACTCATAGCCAATGCTACTCACATCAGAAATGCAGTGAAGCTTCTGTTCTCTTGAAAGTAAATAGGGGCTGGAAAAAATTTTTTTTTTTCTGGGAAAGAATCACCTTGTGTTGCCTGGGACATTGGTGGGGTGTGGTGAGGTGTGTGCCATGGCTGAGGAGGAAAGGTACTCCTGGAACCAGGACTGTGCTGTAAACTGGTGCTACCTCAGTCAAAAGGAAAAAATCATCTTCATAGGTGTAAAACGCTATCATTCCCAATTAAACCAGTGAAAGCAAATGAACTGTATTGAAACCGCATTTTAACAAAATCAAGAACACTGTTACCCGACAAGAAGACATTTGCATGGCAGCAGGGCACACAGGTAGCCCCGTGTTCTGTGTCCTGTCGTGCTCCAGACTATTTTAAGTCTGTTATCTGATCTTGCAAGAGCTGCCTCTCTCAATGGTGACTCGGAAACACCGGCACTGCAGAATGTGCTAGAGCGGGTTGGGGTTCCAGGCCTTACCGGATGAGGTGCCTCACTGCATCATCAAACTGCAGGAGCAGAACCTCCCTTTGAAGGAGGAGGGCCTGGGCCACCTGGGAAGGGTCTTGGGGGTCCTGGAGGCTGTCAATCATTCTTTGTAGCTCTTGAAGCCCAGACCCTAGAAGATGGGCAGCATTTTAGTCAGACAGTGTGAAATACAGGCTTTTATATCTAACCCAGTGAGCCACCATTTCATTTCCAAGCTAACTCTTTGTCTAAATGGACTTCTCTTTCATTCTTGGTGTGTATACTAATTATATGTTTTGCAAGGCCAGCTAAGTCTCCTTCTCTAGAACCCATGATCTGAGTTAACCTTCCTTCCTTCCTCCTTTCCTTAAGAAGACAAAAAACTTGCTTTGCTTTTTATAATTAAGAACATGCTGTTAAAAGACAGTTTGAAAATTGACTAGGCTATTTCAGTCTCTAAATAGACTGAAACAGAACAGTGGGAAAGTATATCTATTACAGTCTTGAAATTATTGTAGATTTTAAACCAGCATTCATCACTTCAAGCTATACCATCCAAATCAACCCTTCCTGTCAAGCCCATATTGTCACTGGTTTATTTAAGAAGACTCCAGATCTTTCAAGGCAAGAAAAAATATATATATGCTGTACATGGATACATTTCCTCCTAGGAGAGTGTCTTCATTTTAGAATTAGATATGAGAGATCCTAAGCTGACATCTTATACTTTTACTGCAAGGGTAGGCTGGGTATAAATAGATCTATATGTGTTAGAGATGGAAATTTAAGTTACGGGCCTTTTGGGACATTCCATGCCAGGTTGAGGAACCTGACCTGGATTTAAATAGCAGCCCTAGCATTTTTATTATTGGCCCAGGGAAGGAACTGGTCAGCATGGGAAGACATAACAAGGAATTTATGAGCTTTTTGGGAACAGACGGGGAGGGCAGGCCCGCCAAGCCAGGGCCACCAGGATGTAAGCTGAGGAGAAATGCTCACCAACTCCCCATGAGAGCAGTAATAGCTTTCTACTTGAGAAGTCATTCCTGTTATGGAGAGAGAAGGATGTGGGAAGTAGATACTACCTGATATGTAGCCCAAAGCAGGAGAGAGATGGGAGACCCTCAAGGTATTTCTAGTCATTTTAGCTCAACGGTATGTCTTGACCCAAGCAGACTGCCCTCTGGCCTGGTACTGGGTCTCCTCCCACACACAGTTCTGCTGTGGCAGGCAGAGGAGTTGAGAGAATGGTGCTATCCATGAAAGCCTATGGAGAGCAGATCCAGTACTGAGAATGGTCGAAAATAGTTGCAGTATATGTTCTTGGCTTTAGGGAAAAATGAAACAGCAGATTTCATAGCCATTTGATGTCACATATCTGACATACAATCTCTCATGGTTATATTGGACTGAAAGAACCTTCCACCAGAAAAGGAGTTATGCTGAGTGAGCTATGCACACTTTAGTGTGGTGATGGAAGGCTGGTGAGCAAGCATTACTGGTGAGCCAGCATTACTAGTTCAAGCCCTAGTATGTTTGGTCTATAAGAAATGAGTTGTCAGGCTAAGCAACAGCCACGGGGGCAAGGTTTATCATCCTCTGCACATATATTGCACACTCTCTTGAAAGCTCTGTGAAATATAAATGTTAAGTGTATTTGGGGAAGGGAGTAAAGATAAAAAGAATTCATTCATTGGAACGGTCATGATAAGGGTGATTTCCCCCTCTACATTATGGCCACTATTGTTGGTATCATGCTGTGGCTGCAAGATTGCTTTTCAGCAAAATTGTTTTGTGCCATGATTATCATTAAAGTACAGACATGCAGGCTCTCCCTGGTGGTGCAGCGGGTTAAAGCACAGCACAAAGAAGCTAAAGCCACTTCCGCATGAGTTTGATCTCCGCCTGCCCCGGAGGAGATCCACATAGGGCGGCAGACCTCTCCTGACCCGCCCACTGCTCCCCTCAGCAGTGTACTTTGTCGATCTGCCTGTTCTGCTCTGTCTCTGGTGAATCCTCTCATCCTCTGCATCTCTGGCCTGTACCCCAGTTCTGTACGAATAAATAAATAAATCTTTAAAAAAAAATACAGACATGCAGGTGGGGGATGTCCTTTCCTTGTTATTTACTGATTTTACAATCATTCTGGATTCCTTTTGTTCGTGGGGCCACACTATTTCATGGGCGGCAAAGTGGCAGACATGGGCAGTGATAATGGGCTGAGGTTGCCAGGTGGCAGAGGTGACAGGGCTGGGGTGGACCCTGGGCCAGGACGGGAGTCTTTTCTGGCACCTTTCCCCAGGAGGGTCCTGCTGAAGGAGAGATAGATCACAGTGCCCTGTGGGTCCTCCTGAACACTGAGCCAGTTCCTCATTTGTCTTAGCAGTTCTTCATTTGCTTACGAAATCCAGAGTGTGCATTATCTGGGCGTTCACTGGCCTCCTAATCCTTTAAAAGGAGATCACAGGGTAATTTCCACATTCTGACTACATTGTGGCTGGCTTTCAGGGAAACAGAGGTTAGCAGGGCCCACAGAGCTGGCCCACTGTGACCAGAAGCTGCTTCTTCAGTCACGTGAAAGCAAAGCTGAAACTTGTAGCATCCTGCTAAAAAGTATTTTAGAACATGAGTTCACAAAAGTAATTTTATCTCAGGCCAATAGCCCTGAGATAGCTGAAAGTAGCCAGATGGGTCTATAAACAGACCATCCCATCTTTCCAACTTCATTTTCCTTGTCTCCTCTGGGAAGCAGGCTAGGCCCCCAGGAGCCTGGGATTCTCTAAGATGGCTACTTTAGGGTGAGGTTTTTTTTAGTCCAGGGTGCCCTTAACCTATTTTCAGCAAAGCAGAGTATGCAAAACTTTGCACATTTTCCCTGGAGCACAAATGTTTTCACTGGCAACATGACAAGACACACACCTCTAATTACAACTTCAGACAGCCTGCACCCCATGTATCAGAATGGCTTCTGCTTCATAGGCAGAGAAACAATGAGAAACCCATTTCCTTCCACCTGAATTTCAGGCCCTCAACAATGTGGCCTCATTCCTGTGCCCCTAACTCTCATGCTGGGGGTTCACCAGCTGGGCATGCTGCCTGCTGCCTTTGCCAATGTCCTCCTTGTCATATTTTGCCCCGACTTTCCTCCTATTTTTCCTCCACTGATTCAAATTCACTCCTCCCAAAGGAAGGAGTCTCCCAGATGATTTTCTCTGCAGGCTTGGCTCTCTGAGCTGCTAGTGTAGTGACTTTCAAAATATGGCTGTACCTCAGGTTTGCTTTATCTCCACACAACACCCATCTTCCCATCTCATCTGCATTGTTTCTTAGCTCCTGTCTGAATCCAGCTCCCACACCCTCTCAAGCCCAGCAACTCCCCTGAGTGGGCATTAGTTTATTTTCTTAGTAAACGCCACTAAAAACAGCCCTTGAATTAGTTAAAGCATGCAAGATGTGAGGACCTCCTCTACTCTCTTATATTGAAGACTTCCTAGCTGTTTTGAAAACTCATTTGTCTGCAACAAATCTGTGCTTTCTGCCGAGGCAGAAACTGCACCCCTGAGCACGCTCATGCACCTCAGATAGAGAACTCAGTCTCCCCTCCACCAGAACTCAGTCTCCCCTCCACCCGTGTTCCCTCCGCATCCTGTGTGGCCGATACAGATTCCTTCATGTTCATTAGCATGAGGTAAATCTGCTGGCAAACAAGTCAGGGCCTCCCACAAACACATTTCATTTAATGCATAATCAGCATAGGTTCAGATTACATAGCACTTGTTTTGAATCCAATAGGTTTAAGTCTAAAGCATTAAAAATGAGGCATATTAAAAAAAAAAATGAGGCATATTTCCTCAATCCTTTGATTCACGATTCCTTATAAGATCCCTGGCTACTATGTTGTAGTATATTGTGTTAACTCATTTCTTTTTCTTTCTTTCTTTTTTTTTTTTTTT